CCCAATACGGATATTATTACAGAAAAATCAGAAAATGACAAATGGCTTCATCTATACAAGAAAATATGCGAACTTTGAAGTGAAGAATATTTGCATTGCACCAAAAACAGAACTTCACATGACTAGATATAATGAACCAATTACCTAAGCTTCAAATTCAAGATTAATACTTCGATACAAGAGCAGCATACTCAGAACCTGATGCAATATACTTAGTTCGCTGAGGCAGTTCCTTCTGCATAAATATAGCAATTATCTGATGCAGTTACTATATCTGACCGTTGCTATTTTGTTTTAATGATCACATTTAGTTTATTTTTCCTTTGTCATGCTTAAGTGTGTTTAGTTCACACGTTAATCGGGAGTGTGGTCCCAATTTTTAGTTAGTGTGTTCCTCATTCCTGGTATAGAGGAGTGGAGGAAATGGGGACGGAAGGTTGGTTCTTTTACTGAAATTATCGGGATAATTTGGTTTTCCTATCTCTGGTTGCTACTCTGTTCCTGGTTTTGTTTTTTTTTCATCAGTTTCTATGCCAGATTGGTATCAAAAACAATAATGGCAGTGGCGAAAAATCTTCGACACATGAAGGCGATCGTAGCTAATACACCTGGCAAAAGGCGCAGGCCCATCTTGAATGAAGGTTGGACAGTCGCCACTGACTTTTAGCACTTTGTCACTGAGAAGCGGCAAGAGCTTCAACTCCTTCGCAATGGGAGATCAAAATATCAGGCAAGCACATTGGCAGTAATGGCTACCACACCACTAACCAGGGAAACTAAGACTAGGAATCATGGATGAAGGGTCACTCTAACTGTTTAATCAACCATCGAACCCTGTACACAGACAGTTCGACGTTAAAAGACTGCACTAGCAGCGAACTCACTTCTCAAATTTTGAGTCCGATGAGAACGAACTACTCAAAGAAATCCCCAATCGCAATTGACCATCAAAGACCGCATCTACACTGACTATAAGGTGAAAATTGATATTTCATACTTTGACGGCCACCTTCATATCGAAGATTACTTGGATAGAGAGTAGATCATGTAAGCTTTCTTTGAATACATGCATATTGCTATGAAAAAAAAAGTGTGCTATTTTGCTTGCAGATTGAAAAGTAGATTAGGAGCTTGGTGGCATCAATTGGTTCAATCCCGTAAGAGAGAGAAGAGAGAGAGGAGAACCCCAGAAAACCGATCAAATGATGAGTTTGGATGAAAGAACCTTTACGGAACCAATTCTTGCCTTCCGATGATGTGCATATATTATATGTGCAATTTCAGAGATGTGCCCAAGAAAACCACTCAGTATGTGCTTACACCGAATAATTCTATTGTCTTAGTGCCCAGATTTATATGAATCTAACCCGCAAATTATGGCTCGCAATATCGGAGGATAAAAATAGTTATACAAAATAAATTAGAAATGAATAAGGTTTAGTCACTTTTATAAGCGGTAAATTACACCTACAAAGCTGAACTTCAAATAAACAAAACCCTTCGATCGTTTAGCAGCAAATGGCAGTAAAGGGACCAGCTTATAAAATTCAGCTTCCTCTTGTATCTTCCACAACTCAGTTGCCCCATCAAGTGGTGGAGACACTTAAGCTATTGGCAAAATGGCAAAAAAAAGCAAGCTTGTATCACCGACCTCGACCCATGAAATATTTTCGTTGTTTCCAACCTGGCCACCAATCTAACGAGTGTCCAAATAGGAGACAAATTCAGCTAATATAAGGGGAATTGAATAGAGAAGATGAATATTCAGAGCATAGTATGTTCAAGGGAGCTGAAGTGGAATACGTATCAACATATGAGAGAGAAATCCTGAAATATGTTTTAGAGAAGGTATTGCTCGCTCTAAGGTAACCTATTAAATCTCAACCTACTGCTGCTTTTAGTTGAAGGAACAAGTGTATGAGTTGATGGTTGACAGCAGGTGTTTATGAATCGTAATATCTAGTGTTGTAAAAACACTTCAATTAAAGACCACAAAGCATCCCAAGCCTTACGATATTAATTGGATAAAAAAAAAAGAGTGCATTCAGAAGGAACTGCCTCAACGAACTGAGTATATTGCATCAGGTTTTGAGTATGCAACATCAGGCATATTAGAAGTTGGACCTCAGAAGGCGCTAGCACCAAATCCACATCCATCCAGGTGATGAATGGAAAACGACATTCAAAACTAGAGAAGGGTTATATGAACAGCAAGTGATGTCATTTAATTTGTGAAACACACCAAGCACCATAATGAAGCCGTTATTGGTCGACTTTGTGTCGTTTATTACCATAATATTCTTGTGCAAAGCATTTCATTGGAAGATCACTTGAATCACTTGAATCACTTGAAGTTGTTATTCTCCACTCTTCAAGAACAAAAACTATTCCTCAATTTATGTAAATGCGAGTTCACCTTAAATGAATTTCAATTTCTCGGCCTCACTATCAAGTGGATCCTAAGAAGATAGAGGCCATTCAATCCCGGTCAGCTCCCAAGTCAATTATAAAAGTTTGTAGTTTTCATGGCCTTGTCGACTCTTAAAAGCATTTTATACGTAATTTTAGTACTCTTGCTGCACATTTATCAAATTGCATCAAGCAAAAAAACTTTTATTGGGGCCAATAACAGTAAGAGAGCTTTCTAAACATGAAGGGGTGTTCGGGTTTATCTCCTGTGCTTGGTATACCAAATTTCGACAAGTCATTCCAGGTTGAAACTAATGTGTCTGCTATAGGAATAGGCATTGTTATACCTCAAGAAGGAAAACAAGTAGAATTTTTTCGTGAAAAGTTGAGCCCCATCCATCAAAGGTGGTCTAAATATAAAAAGGAACTAAATGTGGTTATTTGAGCATAAAAAAATTTATAAAACTACTTATTACATTAGGAATTTATCATATTTAGTGATAATCAGCCCTTGCAATTCTTACAATCTCAAATAAATCTCAATCTGATTCATCTATGCTTGGCAGTGTTCCTCCAAAAATTCAATTTTGTAGTGAAGCATCATGCTGGTCACACCAATCGTGTAGCTGACGCATTGAGCCGCACAGCGAGCTTTTTGATTGTCGTCCAAGCTAGCATCACAGGAATGGAAAGCCTACAAGAGTTATATATTGATGATGAAAAATTGCCATTGTGTGAGCTAGTTGAATGCAACTGTCTCCTCAAAGAGATTATTTTATTCAGCAAGGTTAACTTTTTAAGGGCAAACACTAATGTGTACCTAACACAGCTCTCAGTCAACAAATTATTCAAGATTGTCAGGGGAGGATTGCCAGCTCATGCAAATAGGGACCGAACATTAGAACTATTGCAGTATATAATCTTTGGGCCCAAACTGAGAAGGGGTGTGTGCAAATTTAAGGAGAAATGCTCCATATGATAGAGTGACAAGGGCACAAGTTAGAATACTGGCCTTTATTTGCCCTTACCAATTCCAGATTCCAGTTAGAAGGATCATAACATAGATTTTGCATTAGGTCTGCTTTGCACCAAACACGAATCAAATTTTGTAATTGTAGTTGTTGATCTTTTTTTTGAAAATGGCTCATTTTGTGGCATGCAAAAAAACTTGTGATGTTTCCAACATTTCTAAACTTTTTTTAAGGGATTGTGAGCCTACATGGCATTCCAAAGAGCATTACATATGACTGTGATGTCAACTTTATAAGTTACTTTTGGAGAGAATTGTGAAACAGTTCAAGACAGATCTTCGATTGAGCTTAGCATATCATCCTCAAGCAGACAAACAAACAGTAGTAGTAAACCGATCCTTAGAGAACATTATCCATTATATTGCGGGAAATCAGCCAAAAACAGTGGGATGAGTATTTAGGACAAGCAAAATCTGCATTCAACTAATTGATTAATCGTTCCATTAATCGTCTCCCTTTAGCATAGTCTATATCAAAACATCAAATCCCACAATAGGTATTGCTATACTTTCCAAGCTGAAAAGCAACAGTTGTGAACAATTTTGAATCTATGTTGTGGGAAATTAATGACAAGCTTACAATATCATCCCATCAATACAAGCAGCAAGTTGAATCCCGAAGGCCAAAAGTTTCAAAGTTAGTGATTTGGTTTTGGTGGAAATTTGCAAAGATCGATTTCCTCAAAGTGTTTAATTGAAGTTAAATCTTCGTAAATTTGGACAATTTCCCGATAGCAAAGGCATCAATGACAAGACTTATGTACTTGAATTGCCCACAAACCTCAGCATTTCATCTACATTTAATGTGTTTGATCTTTACACTCATCAAGTGCCTAATAAAGGGGTGACTCAAACTTCTGAACTCGGGTCAAAATCCTCGGGAGTTGAAGAGATTTGATGCAGCATACTGAGAACCTGATGAAATAAACCCAGTTCACTGAGGCACCTTCTCTGGATGCACTCCTTTCCATCAAATTCTGGGTGCTAGGTTGCTACTACAAATATAACTATATTACCTGATGCATTCAGTATAGCTGCCCGTTGTTATTTTGCTTTAATGATCGCATTTAGTTTATTTTTCCTTAGTCATGTTTAAGTGTGTTTAGTAACACGTTAATTGGGAGTGTAGTCCCAATTGTTAGTTAGAGACTCCCAGATTCCTGCTATAGACGAGTGTAGAAAATGGAGATGGAAGGTTGGTTGTTTTATTGAAATTATAATAATAATCTTGGTTTTCCTTTCTCTGGTTGCTGCTCTCTTCCTAGATTTATTTTTTATTCATCAGGTTCTACACTAATTTGTAGACCTAAGCATTCAAAACTACAGACATAATAGAACGGGATGCACATACGCCTCCAATGTATGCCCCAATCCTAATCTGAGTTATAAAGATTCCTAACTTTTTATCCATGAAGTTTATGTATGTGTCAAGTCGAACAAGAACAGAGAATTTATATAAAAAACTGAGGAAGAAAGATTACAATGGATGAATAAGGTGATCTAGAGGTAAATAAGTATTGAAAAGGGAAGACGCCTGCTAGAGAGAGAGAGAGATTCATACAATAGGGAAATCGAGAGGCGAGCGGCGAGTAATCTTTTCCTCCTCCGGTGCCATGCAGAACACCAACCCACGCCTGATGCTCCCCTGACGTCGCGGAGATAAAGTGACGCCGATAAAGCAAGAGCTCTTCCGGCCACCGATGAAAGCGCAGGTTGCCGTCGAGCAGGGATGGTCCACGAAAACCGCTGATAGGTATCCCACCGACGCCAACCAAGCCATCCAATCACAGGTCGTCAATGGAAATTTCTCTCGTGCTGGAGCCTCCGTGCGCGCGCCTTAGAGAGGAGCAAAATAATGTTCATTTAAAATAATATTATAATAAAATAATTGATTTCTTGAATAATTACGGTAGAAAAAATAAGAATTTACTTAACATAAAATATAAAATATTATTTTTTAACTATTTTAAATAATTATGTCCCCAAATTTAGTATATTTTGAATAAATTTTATTTTAATTTCTTTTAAAATAATCAGCTTACGAGCTACCTTTTCTATCTAGTTAGGACTAATTTGAACCCGACTTGTTCGCTCATTGAGTTCACTTCCTTTATCGAGCTGAACTAAAGCTGGCTCACGAGTCAACTCACTTCTTAGGTCCGTCATCCTGGCTCAGCAGTCAAAAGCCAAAAAATTGGAGCATCGCAGACCAACCATGGAAGATTAGACAGAATCCCATCACCTTAGCCCTTTACTTTCTTGCTTCCTCCCACGTATGCCTCTCCTTATTCCTTCGCCTTCACATTCAATCCATCCATGGAAGGAGCCATCTTCCCCAACCGTCCCTCTCCTCCTTTCCATAATGCCAAACCGCATAGAAAAACATCTACTCAACCTCCCCAACACCTAAAGTTCGGACCTTCCCTTCCCCCTCCTCCTCCTTCATCCCACTCCCTCCCCCTCGACTCCCTTCTCCCCCTCCTCACCCGCCAGAACTCGCCTTCATCGTCATCCTCCCCAACTTCCACCGCACCAGTCCCCCGCCTCGCTCGACTTTCCTCCATTGATGATCTCTGTTTCCTCTCCCCCGAAGCTGCTTCCATTCTCCACCTCATCCTCTCCCAACCTCTTCCATCCCTCCCTTCCTTCCTCCGCTCCTCCAAACCCGACATTCTCGCCGTCGACACCGTCGGCCTTCTCAAAGCAATCGACGTCGCCGGCGATTGGGAGCGAGCTCTTCTGCTTTTCCAATGGCTAGCTTTCGATGATAAATCGAAGATTGACGCACCAGCCATTGAGGTCATCCTCCGAGTCCTCGGTCGCGAGTCACAGCACTCCCTTGCCTGCAAGTTGTTCGACTCAATTCCTCTAAACGACTACCTTATCGATATCCGCGCTTACACCACCCTCCTCCACGCCTACTCCCGCTCGGGCAAGTTTCAGAAGGCCGTTGAATTGTTCGCGCAGATTAAAACCAAGGATCTTGCGCCCACCATTGTCACCTACAACGTCATGCTCGATGTCTACGGAAAGATGGGCGGATCTCGGACTCAAATTTTAAACCTTTTGGATGAGATGAGAGGCAGAGGTTTTGAATTCGATGAGTTCACCACTAGCACTGTTATCGCTGCTTGTGGGAGAGATGGGTTGGTTGATGAGGCCGTGGAGTTCTTTCACCAGTTGAAGTCCCAAGGTTTTTCACCTGGAGTCGTCACTCACAATGCCCTCCTCCAGGTTTTTGGAAAAGCTGGTAATTTGCCGCAGGCACTGAGTGTTCTCAAGGATCTGGAAGACAATGGCTGCTCTGCTGATTCAGTGACTTACAATGAGCTTGTCGCAACTTACGTTAGAGCTGGGTTTTATGAACAAGGAGCTGCCTTGTTGGATTCCATGGCCACTAAAGGTATCACTCCAAACACTGTCTCTTACACCACAGTGATCAGCGGATATGGCAAGGCTGGGAAGGAAGATGAAGCATTGAGTTTGTTCAGAAAAATGAAGGAACTTGGTTGCGTTCCAAATGTTTGTACCTACAATACCATACTCGGAATGCTTGCGAAGAAGTCTAGGAACTCAGAGATGTTAGAAATACTCCTCCAGATGAGATCTGATGGCTGTGTTCCTAATCGTGTGACATGGAACACCATGCTTGCAATGTGTGGAAAGCGAGGCATGGAGCATTATATCAACCAAGTGTTTGTCGAGATGAAGAATTGTGGTGTCGAGCCGGATCGCGACACCTTCAATACTCTGATTTCAGCTTATGGAAGGTCTGGATCTGGTGCTCGTGCTCTAGAGCTGTATCAGGAGATGACTGAGGCTGGTTTTTCCCCTTCTCTTACAACTTACAATGCACTTCTGAACGCCATTGCTAGAAAAGGTGACTTTTTGGCTGCTGAGTCCGTGTTGAACGGCATGAAAAGCAAGGAGTGCAAGCCCAATGAGCTCTCCTACGCACTGCTCCTCCAATCCTACGCAAAGGCGAGACATTTTGAAGGGATAGCGGCGATCGAAGAGAAGGTTTACGCTGGCGAGATCTTTCCGAGCTGGGTGATCTTACGAACACTAATCATCTCGAATTTCAAGTGCAGGGAGCTAAAGGGGATGGAGCGGGCTTTCGATGAGGTGAAGAGAAATGGTTATAAACCTGATATTGTAATTCTGAATTCGATGCTCGGCATATATGCTAAGAATGCGATGTACGATCGAGCGCACGAGATGTTCCATTTGATTCATCAGAGCGGGCTTATACCCGATCTAATCACACATAACAGCTTGATTGACATGTATGCGAAGTGCGGCGAGTGTTGGAAAGCGGAAGAAGTTCTTATAAGCCTTCAGAACTTGGGCTTGGAAGCTGATGTTATCTCCTACAATACTGTAATTAATGGTTTTTGCAAGCAAGGACTGATGCAGGAAGCCATGAGGACCTTCTCAGATATGATAGAAATCGGGATTCGACCTTGTATAGTTACTTATAATACATTTGTTGGAGCTTATGCGAGCAGGGGTATGTTCAGTGAGGCTGATGATGTTATTAGTTATATGATGAGCCATGGCAGCAGGCCTGTTGAGTTAACTTACAAGATGATGATTGATGGTTATTGTAAAGCTAGAAGGTATGATGACGCCACGGAGTTTGTACATAAAATTGCTGAAAAAGACCCTTCTTTTGATGAGAGGTTAGTGCGTAAGTTGGCTCTACGGATACGGGGCTGGTGAGTATCAGCACACTAACTTAAGTCATTTTTTTTTTGGATTAGTTGATTCTGTATAGAAAAAACTTCTTGCAATATGTTGCTTCGATTTGCTGCCTTCATCTTTTGTCAATTTAGTTATTTAAGCATCCTGAAAATGTAATGTTGTTGAATTCAAATATGTCTGTACCGACTGTACGTGATATCAGAATTCAAAACATTACTGACTAGAATGGATCGGAAACAGAAAGGAAAGTAGAAAGAGCATGAATCTAGAGAGAAGCTGTGTGATTTCACCATATTTCTGAATGTACATGGTTTGAGCGAATAATTCAATATCCTTTCACTTCCTATTCTACATCTATATTTACATATTAGGGTAGAGACCCAATATTACAGGAAAGGTTATGCAAATAAATTTACATTACAGACCATAATGTGTGTTCCCCATGAAATGTACCTAGTTTGTCTGTAGTTGCTCTGTTAGCGCTGGCGTGGAGTTCGGTCCACCCAACCCGCGAACTCCCGCTCCCGTCTCTTCTTCTATTTTCGTGAAACGACGCTTCAGATCGCGAATGATCACACCTCTTCACAAATAATCATTTCTTGCTTTCTTTTTTGCGAAGAGAAGCAGAGAAGCAGAGAAGCATCCCTTCATCAGAAACCGTTCTCGCCTCCTCTATATCCCGAAGAGAATCATCGCTGCGCTTTTTCTCTTCGTTATAAAACAGCGGCTCTCCTTCATATCCGGATGTCACAAGAAGTCACGATTTTCTTCTTTAGGTTTCCTCGGGAATGAGGAAGAATTCTTCGGGTTTTCACGGGATAGTGGAAGAGAAGAAGTGCAAGGAGGAGTAGTTTCTTGCGGCAGAAGGAAGAAGAAGAAGATTGTTCTCCCTAGGCTTTGTCTTGGTGGCTTGTGGTAGAAGAAAATTTGGGTTTATTTCTCTTGTAAGTTTGTCTTCTTCGGTGTTCTCTTGTAAGTTTGTCTTCTGTAAGTTTGTCTTCTTCGGTGTTTCTCGGTGTAGAGTTTTCTTCGGTGTATCTCAGTGTAGAGAGAGAAGAACAGAGAGAGAAGAAGAGAGAGAGCAACGAAGAGTGAGAGATTCCTCTTGTAAGTGACTGGTGTACATTTCCTCAAGTAGTAAAATCCTCTGCAACTCCGTGGACGTAGGCAATTTGCCAAATCACGTAAATCTGTGTGTTATTTTTTAGTGTAATTTTTCTCGTTCTATTTTTTGATTCGTCGATTGTTCTCCTATTTGATTTATATATATATCACATCAACTGCTCTGGTATATATTTCATAACAACTGGTATCATAACTTTGTTCAGATCTGAGGAAGAATGATGGCTGCAGATGAAGTAAAAGTTTCCGGGATCGAGAAATTTGATGGCACAGATTTTGGTTATTGGAGAATGCAGATAGATGATTATCTTTATGGGAAGAAACTTCATCTTCCGTTATTGGGGAAAATACCTGAAAGGATGGATGAGGCTGAATGGAATTTGTTGGATCGACAAGTTCTGGGGTTATTCGAATAACTCTATCGAGGTCTGTTGCATATATTGTCGTCAAGGAAAGGACAACTACAGATTTCATGTCAAACTTATCAGGTATGTATGAAAACCCATCGGCAAATAACAATGTGCACTTGATGAAGAAGTTATTCAATTTGAAGATGGCGGAAGGTGTTTCTATTGCTCAACACCTGAATATTTTCAATATTATCACAAATCAATTGTTGCTTTGGAAATTGATTTTGATGATGAGATATGTGCACTGATCTTGTTGGCTTCATTGCCAGGCAGTTGGGAAGTCATGAGGATAGCAATTAACAGTTCTGCAGGTAAATTTAAACTGAAATACGATGATATTCGTGATTTGATTTTGGCTGAGGAAGTTCACTGGAAAGATTTTGTCGAGGTCTCGGGTTCGAGTTCGGCACTGAATGTTGATTTCAGAGGGAGATAGCATGACAAGAACTCAATGATAGAGATATCAAAATCAAAGTTTAGTAAGCAAGCAACCTGTTGGAATTGTGGCAAGGTTGGCCACATAAAGAGGAACTGCATGAATCCTAAGAAGATGGAGAATGATAGCGCAAATGTGGTATCTGAAGAATCACAGGATGCACTTTTGTTGGTAGTTCATAGTTCTGTTGAAGACTTGATGTTAGATTCAGGGGCTTTGAATGTGGTAGAAAATCTACCAAAGGCTACAGTGCAGGGCAGTGATGGAAGTGAAGAAAAGAGTGGGTCTAGGGCACCCATTCCTATTGTTCCACAGACAGATGTTACAGAACCACAGAGCTATGAAGAAATATTGCAAGATGAAAATTTGAGCAAGTGAGAGTTGGCAGAACTTCCACCAGACAAGAAGACATTGCACAACAAATGGATGTACCAGGTAAAGGCTGAGTGTGATGTCAGTAAAAGGTATAAGACTAAACTTGTTGAAAAAGGCTTTCAGCAGAGATAGGATGTTGCCCATGTTTTTTTTTTCATGTGATGATTAATATATCTGGATAGTCTTTAATGATTTTGAACTTCACTACCCCCTTCTTAAAGTTAAAAACTTTTCATATTCCTTCACTTTATAAATTTATATTAGCTTTAGAAATTTTTCATTAAGTTTTAATCTTTTCTTCTTACATGAATCTCTAAGATTTTTAATACTTCAAAAATATAAATTCATTTACTAAAAACAAAAAAACATAGTCTTATTATATCATACCAAATAATCTTAATCTCTAAAATTAACTTTTATTATTTAAAAATTTTACTTAAGTTTACTATATATTTAGAAACATAGATATAGTTATCTAAAGTTACCCTATAATACCAAAGGTCATGTTAAAAATTTTTAAATATTTTGAAAATATAACTAATTGAGAACAAATAAAATTAAGTTTATTTTCTTTAAAAAGGAATTTTTCTTCCCCCCAAACTTAATTTTTTAAAAGATTTTAAATGAAGAACTGAAAAATTGAGGGTTAAAGAAAACATTTAATACATAAAGAAAAGACATATCTGTTGAAGGTTCTGATTTGAAACTTAACTCTGAAATATTGCAGGTGCTAATATGAAAAATTACAATACTTAAAACATTAAATAACACATAATACATATAAAAATTTGTTGAGAAATAGTTAACTACAAATACATCCAACAAAGTACTAAAAACTAATAACAGTATTAAAAACAGTCTCATAAATCCACAGTTCACAACACAACATACAACAAAATAAAGTACCACAGTCCACAAACAAACAGTCTAAAAAATAAAGTATAATTAAACATAAACTAAACAAAAATCTAATTAAAGCATCACCAATCATCATCTTCTTCTTCTTCTTCTTCCACATTCAAATTCTGCTAATGATATGGAGTAAAAACAGGGTGAGTAGAAAATTGAACTGAGTGATCACCCTTAATGAATTTGACCATTACATCATCATAAGCAGCATCGTATTTGAACTTTTGTCTTATCAACTCATCAAAGTGAGCATTTCTGCCCTCCATATTTTTCATTCTATGATTCATTCTTAAAATATCTCCTTGTTGGATCATCATTTGCTCCATAAGTTCTTGGATAGTAGGGGTACTAGAAGTACCTGAAGTAGAAGGAATATCTCTGATCCTACCTCCGGATCTCCATCCAACATGAGATTCATAAGTCTTTATATTGGCAGGCTCAATAGGTTTTAGAGGTTCAATCCTTTCCTCCTCTGGTCTATAATCAATTCCTGCCTGTTCACATACTGTGAAGATCAAGGCAAGGTGTTCTAAACCTCCAATAGTCTCTCCAAAAGCAATAGATCGAGTGTTCATATAAATAATAGAGCCTACATATGCTCTTTTTATCCACTAGATAAAAAAGTTTAAGATAGTTCTATCCCTTGTAACATCACTATGATGATTTGTTGGTTTCAATCTTCCAGAAATAAAATAGTGTCCGGCTTTAAATACTACATTTAACATAGAAAGAGGAAAGTTTACCTTAACTTCATTCTTCACCTTCCAAGTTCATTTTCCATCAGTAAGAAAAGAAATAACTTCATCTAAGGCCTCATTCGTAGTAGAAAATGACTTATATTGGCAGTTATACACATCTTCCAACTGATAAAATTCATTAATTTTACTAGTAGTAAACTCCACCATTTTTTTCACGAACAAACACAAAGTCTTCAAAAGTCTCATTGAAATTGGCATAGTACTCCATCACTATGCCAATAATCGCCTCAGCAGTAAAGTAGCATAAATTCTCCCACTACCAAGCACTGATTAATCTCTTGACTTCTCCTCCTGAATTTTTAAATCCTCAATTCGGAAGCACTTTTTTAGTGTTACGTAGACTATTGAAGCAAATGTTCGCCTTATAATTGACAAACTTTTGATCATCAAAATCCACTTTTCTCTTTCCTTTACTCATTCTAGGTGTCATGGTAAATCTACAAAAATTTGATAAAATCCAAATAAATTCCCAAAAAATCCAAAAATCACAATGTGAAACGTTTTCTTAAATCTATTAAGTAAGAGTTCTACACCAAAGGATTTTCCCAAAATCTTCCAAAAAAATCTCAAAATTTCGGATCTTGGCAATGTGAGATAAATCCTTGCTGAAAACCAAAAATTTTGAGTTCAAAGTGTAGCTCTTACCTAGAGAAGATGAGATTCAAACTTTGTTTGCCTTAGAATTGCCTCAAATCCGAGCGATAGCAAGCCCTAGGTGCAATAACCGGAGGTTGAGGTGACTCAAGGGGTAAAAATGGCATTTCACTGTGCAAATCGTGAATTTTAAAGGTGTTAGGGTCGGTTCGGGTTGAGGGCGCGTCAGCGCCCATCCGGCGTCGCGGCGCCAATGGTAAAAAATTCACTTATTTAATTTTTTAAATTTTTAATTTCCTCTCTATTTACTCCAAAGTTTATTTAATCTTTTTTAACGCAAATTTTCATCTAAAAATAATTCACAAACAAATATTTTTACAAACAACACCAAACTAATTTTTATATATGAAAATACACTTTTTACCAATACATTTTTCTAATCACAAATTCACATCTTCAAAGCAAACTAAATTATAATTCAACATCGAAATCAAGCTACAAAACTAAAATGCTGACACAAAACTATACACATAATCAAAGATCTAAAACAAAGTAAAGTAAATCAAATCCACACAATTATATTAAAGCATAAGTATTTTAAAATAGTAGAGTGTCTAATTTCTGCAATTAATCTGTCTCTTCTTCAGTGTTTTCTCCTCCTCTAATATCTCTCATAGATTGGAAATGGACATATAAATTGTAGAAGGGTCGGTACGGGAACTAATCAGTCAAATTTTCATCGATCCGTCTATTTTTCTTGAACATTTGTACAAATCCTGCTTCAAATGTTCCTGTATGATCAAAGTTCTCCTTCATTCTCCAGTATAGGTGATCTAAAAGGTAGTTAAGATTTCTTATTGCATTCGTAATACTCTG